GGGGCTTCCAAGAGATGTGTTCATCAATTAGAACACCTAAAAACTTTGTATTTTGAGCTCTTTCGATGGTTATATTTTCTATAGTAATTGTTGATAGGTTAAGGGGAAGCTTTTTAATTTGTTGAGTAGAGTGGAATAGAATATATTTAGTTTTATCTATATTAGTATATTTATATACTAATAAGTGAATTTGGCTCATTCAATAAGGTTATATTATATTATTCAATAAGGTTATATTATATTTGTGATAGAGTGATAGTTTGTTTGATTTAAACCATTAATTTTTTTTAATTCATTATTTGTTTTTTTAAACAAGTCTTCAATAGACTTTGATGAGTAAAATAAGTTTGTATCATCGGCAAACATTATAGTTTTGAAAATATTAGAGGCATTTGGGAGATCGTTTATGTAAATAATAAACAAAAGAGGAGCAAGAATGGACCCTTAGGGTACACCACATTTTGTTTTCAGTAAATTCGAGTTGCTTTTTTTATCTATAATAACACACTGGTGTCTGTCATTAAAGTAGTTTTTAAACCAACTTAAAGCTTTATTTTTAACGCCATAATTTTCCATTTTTGTCAGTAAAATCTCATGGTTGACGGTGTCAAACGCCTTTGACAAATCAATAAAAATTCCTAACATGAATTTTTTTTGTTTAAATGATTTACTAATCCTATTTGAGAGATCAAGGATTGCATGCTCTGTTGCGTGTCGCTTTTGGAAACCGTATTGACCTTTATTGATAATTTTATTAGTTTTTAAATATTCATTTAATTTATTGTAGATAATTCGCTCAAGAAGTTTTGCGAATACCGAAAGGATTGAAATAGGTCTATAATTGTTTAAAGAGTTGGCTTCTCCTGATTTATAGATTGGTATAATTTTTGAGATTTTAAGCAAATCAGGTACAATACCCGTTGTAACTGATGAATTAAATATTTGGTAAATAGGATTACGTATTTCCTCAAAAACATCTATCACTACTTTGCAAGAGATATCATCGATTCATGGGGACTTGATTTTAAGTGATTTCTTAACAATCTCAAGTTCGTCTTGGTTTAGTTCGTTGAAATTTAAGGAGCAGTTTGCATTTCATTTCATACTACCGAAATTCGTATTGAATTGTCTGCAGAAATAACTAAAACTTGTAAACTACCTAAAGCAACTAAGAATTAAGATAACTTCCAATAAAATTTCTGATGTTTATCCATTCACTCATTCCATGTTTATTAGCTGAATTTTTGCAAGACTTTACATTTTTATAAAGCCAAATAACTGTCTTTAAAATAACTACACTGACACCGTATTGTGCGCAAAACTAATTTTGTTGCACCAAAGTAAAACAAATTAGTAATTTGTAGTAAAGCATTTTAAATTTTAGCATCAAATATTGAGACTGTTCATAAATTATTGAGACGATTCATAAATTATTGAGACTATTCATAAATTATTGAGACTATTTTTCTTTTGTCTTTTTTAACTATTTCTTCTATATAAAATTCCTATAATATAAAACAATGTACCTGCAGTTGATAGACTTTCTTTTATTGTTTCTAATCTACCTTTTTTGATACCAATTATAAAAAGGAATGCTTTGAAACACACTTTAACAAATTGACAATTAGCATTATTAACAAACAATTTATATTTGTAGCTAAAACTATTTCTACTTGGCTTAGTTTTATGTGGTCTTCTTCTATTAATGTTATTTGCTGTTATAAGTCTTGCTAGAAATGAATCTTACTTTTCTTTGCTCGCTATAAAATTAAATGATTTTAATAAAGAAACTTTGTTTTTTCTTTACAACTACTGTTTGTTTTTACAACTTCAAAACATTTAAATCTAATGCAGCTAAAGTTTATACCTGTTTTATGAGTAAAAAGTTTTTGTTTTTTCTGAATTTGTGGTGATCTTTCTTTAGCTTTTCTTTTTTTTGCTTTATTAGTAACTTCAATAATTTCATCATAATCAGCCATCTTTATCAAATTATGTTTATTTTTAAAACATATCATTGGATACCCCAAGATCATGTGACTATGAATATTTCAAGAATATGTGACTTTTTTTATTATTGTAAACAATATACTGCTGTTTTTTCCATTGTACCTGGTTTTTCTTTTTTTTTTATTGAAAGAAATGTTTTTTTATCTTGATTTATCACTCAAGATATAATTCATAAGGTAATCTACAAGATCAGCATAATGATCTTGTAGATTACTTTATGAATTATATCTTGAGTGATAAATCAAGATAAAAAAACATTTCTTTCAAAAAATTAATTTGGATTGTACATGTACTTGTTATGTAAAGTGTGATATTTGGATTGTACATGTACGTGTTATATAAAGGGTGATATTTGGATTGTGCATATACGTGATATGTAAAGTGTGATATTAAAGTGTGATTATTCTAGTTTTCGTATGAGTTTTTGTATGAGGTCATTAGAAATGTGCTCATAAATACTAACATTAGCTGCTAATACTATTGAACCACTATACCAAGCACTATAACTGTGTTCAATGCCTGATCTTAGTTGGTGTGAAGTAAAATAAGAAAGTTACTTTTTCACGTGCTGCAAAAACATCAAAGTTTGGAGGTGAAATTGTTTTGAAATTGGTCTTGTTACTTCCAAATAGAAAGACTTACATAAGCAACAAGAAACTAGAAAGAGCTAATGTCAAAGAAATAACTGTTTGCATCATGCACTGATCTTAGTCACTGTAAAGAAGATGTAAGAAAATTTTGGAGATAAAATTTAGAGACAAATAAAGATAATTTTACAAGAAAATTTAATTTATATATCTAGAGCAAAGTTTTACACAATATTAAGATTAAATGAAATTTTTTTTATTAAAATTCTTTGTCACACAAAGCTATTATAACTTTATTTGCAATCATTTTAACCAATAATCAACTTTTTCATATAATATTATATAATATATTATTTATACTATATATACTATATAGTTTTCACTTTTATATATTATACAACTATTTTAAAATTGTCCGTTTTTAAATATCAAACTTCTTCTAGCACGCACACACATAAACATTTCACTTTTCTTCATTTTAAAGTTAATATAATTATTTAAAAAAACTTTTTATTTCTTGAAAATCACTAACAGTTCAAAATATTTGAGATGATGGAATCTATATTTTTGAAACTTTGCAGGTTTTATGCAAAACACTTAGTATAGCTTTTTCTATAAAATTTTTTTTTTTTTTCTTTAATTTTATTATGCGCCTCAGCAAATATATTAGATAAAAATGATTCCTTTTCAGATTAAACCCTACTTCCATCTAAAATACATTTAAAATGATTCAAAAAACTGAATCTGCGATGTTTATAACACTTAGGCTGCGAATTATGGTTTACTGAAAGCTTAACAAAATAAATCTAATTTCCATTTCTGTTTTCCAACATTTGCATCGTTGGCTTGCACCCTTCAAAGATATTTCTGTAAGAGATACAATCATAGAGGGAGTTTGATGAGAAAAATGAGATATTTAGAGAGATCAAACCGTGATCAGAAGCATCTGAAAGTGAATGTGGAGAAACTGAGCATTGACTAGGATCAGAAACAAGACATAAGTCAGGTAGAGAAGGTAAATGATTTGCGTTGTCAGTAAGACAAGTTGGAAAGTTGACTTTGTGTTAGGGCTTGAGAAAAGCAACAGTTGTGGGTCTTAACACCTGCTGAGCCAATGATGAGAATTAAATTCACCAACAACATAAGATAAAGAAAGAAGGCTTGGTCAATTTGATCAGAAATAATATCGAAAAGAGTGCAATCTTAAGATGGAGAGCAATATAGAAGAAAGAAAAAGGTGATAGACTGAAATACATCTACACAAGCCTAATAGTGAAATGATAATAATGAAACCCCTACAAACAGCAACTTTAGTAAGACATTATCAGTAACTTTTCCTATAAGGCATAAAAATTTTATGTTTTGAAACTTTTTGCTAATTCAAACTTATCAAATAATTATTACGATTTTTCACTAATTTTATTTTTTTCCTATAAACATTTTCCAAATTTTTCCAAATAAATTCGTATTAATTTCCTTATAGTTATTCCTATTTCCTATTAAACTTTTCCTATTTTCAAAGTGCATACACAAAACAAGTGCAAAAGTTAAAATACAACTAAGAAAAAGGTACATGTCAACTTTTATTTAGAACTAATTATTAATTTAAATATATTAGTATAAGAAGATAAAATATGTCAAAGAATTCAATTCATTCCTATTTATTATTATTTAGGGCATCTAATAAAAGTTTTTTGGTACCAGTAATTTTTCAAAACAATTATTATAATTCTTGTTTTGTGCTTGAGCACAAAATAAAAATCATAACTATTTAATGCTTTTTAAAAAATATTTTTAAATCTTTAACAATTCTGCATAGACATTTTTTTTAATTTTCGTTTAATAATTTCCCAATAATTTGCAATAAGTTTCAATTGCGTCATCTTTATTATAGCTAAGAATCTCACTTATTAAAAAAGTTTTCTCTGTATTTTTAATTTTTTTTTAATCTTGCAATAACATTGAAATAAAAATTACCTTTATAAAATATAAGTTACCTCACAAACTGCAGTTTATAAGGTAAGATACTCGATTTAACTTATTTTGTGTGGATAATCAATCTTTAAAATAAGTTTATTTTTATCATTTTTAAATTTTCATACTTATATACTTATACGTGTTCATACTTACTTAAATTAATAAAAATTTGAAACAATTTACTCCAATAACATTCATATTTCTTCAATACCATAAATATACTCTTACATATAAAATCCTAACACAACACATATTCTTATAAAACTACACTAATGCTTATCAGAACATAATTAAAATGGTTGTAAACTAAAGTTTACAACTGCTTTAAGGTGTGTTGTCTTTTTTATAGCTACAAATCTCACTTACTCAAAAAGTTTTCTCTGCATTTTTAATTTTTTTTTTTATCTTGCAATAACATTGAAATAAAAATTAACATCATAAAACATGTATTACATTAAAATAACTAATACAAAAAGCCTGTATCCTTTTGACTCAATTTAATAGAACTATTTAATGTCAAGCTAGTGAAGCCTTCTTCAACTTCATTCACTGACCTTTATACAGGTATAAAGCACCGTAAATCTTCATTGTGTATTGAGGATGATCTTTATCACTAAATCTTCTTATTAGTGATGTGACAGATGTTAATGTTGTAAAAACAGCTATTAAAATTTCAAATTTAATTATTTTTTACCATTATAAAAATTTTTAAAGTAGAAGAAATAAATTTTATACCATTATAAAAAAACTTTTGAAAGTAGTATTATTATTACCAATTTTTAATTGTTTTAGTTGATAAATCGTAGGTAATTTTAAAAACTACAGATTTATATTAACTTTTAAAAAATTAAAAAAAAAAACCTATTTGATAATTATTCAAATCAGGAGCAATAGCAAGATTTACAAAAATATAATAAACTCCTGTCTCTTGAACTGTTACTGTACCCATGACTGAATCTAGTTTTAGAAGATTTCCTAAAAATATTTAGTTTTTATTTAATAAACACAAAATATTTAAATTTTTTTAAAAATGAATTTAAAAAAATTATAATAATTTAAATTAAAATTAAAATAATAAATTTTTTCTGTCATTTAAAAAAACTTTAAAAAGAAAATGAAAACTTACCACTGCTGAAAACACCAGTTGCAGTCCTTACCCGGTTGTTCTGCCAATATTTAACTTAAGTCTAATCAGAAGCGCTCTGCTGTTGATCAAGTGTTGTATTTAGCATTAACTGCATTCCAGATGAATATAAATCATTGGTAGAGCTAATGAAAACGATTGACATAAAGCTGTCTTGACTTATTGTATAAGTTGGATCAGCAACAGACTGAGTATAAAGTGCAATGCTGTCACCTGCATTAACTAATACCAAACCAGACACAACCAATGAGTAAAAAACACTATTTAAAAAATAGTGTTTTTTAAATAGTGTTTTTTAAATACTAATTGCACCAGACAATAACAACTAATTAATGTCATGCAATCGTATTTATTAATAATTATTTTTCAATAAATATTCCATTTAACAAAAATTGAAAAGCTAATATGATAAACTAAAAAATAAAACAAACAATGAATAAATAAATAACTATACCTTTTTTAATAAATAAGGCTCCAGACACACTAAGACTGTCTTGAACTACTGATGGTTTTCCTTTTGTTGCATATAAAGCAGTTCGTTTTGATAACTGATTATTGACAGCTATCATAATATAAATTGGTCAATTGCTGTCTTTAAAAATAACATTAGCAGACAAATAATAGATCCCTCTTGCCATAGCAGTATACTTACCAGAAACTAATTTTTCAGTAAAAACAAATGAGTCACTCTTCAGACTTTCAGACCATGTGTCAATAACTACCCAATCGTTACTTTTTGTTTGATAAACGTTTTGATAAAAATATTTAAAGTTAAACTAATTTAAAATACAGATAATAGTTTAATCAACATATGTGTATATATATATATATATATATATATATATATATATATATATATATATATATATATATATATATATATATATATATATATATATATATTTAAACAATTTAAAATGTATTCTACAAAAAGAGTGCTCAATGTTCTTAAAAGAACAGAGCAATTACAAATTAGTAGAAAATCACTTTGCAAAATTTTTTCACATTTAACACTGTGTTTCATCAATAAAGACTCATCAGACAATATATATATACTAGCTGAATTGACCCGTAAAAATACGGGTCTTTGTAAGTCTATTCCACACAAACCTTTTGCCTTATTTTCTTAATCTAGCTGTCCGTATCGGTAAATACAGGTCTTTTCTTCTACTTCTATATTTATCAATTCCAGGCCAATCATTTCTTTACTTGTTCTTTATTTACTTCAATATTTTTTAGTAAACTGTGGAAAAAAGTTAATTAAAAAAATTTCCTTTAAGAGCAAAAAAAAACTTTAACATACGCACTTTTTCCGCCAAGTAACATCATTAGTAACACCGCTTGGCTAGCAAGAATCACAATCTTGCACTACACGTTGCCAAGTAACACCACTTTTCACATGGAAACAACTTAATATAAAATTATATAAACTTAAGCACATAAATATAAATAAAGATATATAAACGAATATCTTATTAATTTTTTGCTATACTAATCTAAAATGAACAAAAACAATAAAGTGCTATTTATCAGTTTAAACCTATGAAACTATGTGTATAGCGTCTAATAAAATTTGTGAACAAAAGATATAACTAAACTGGTTTGAAACAGAGAAAAAGCCAGAAGTATCTTGTAATAACATACTATATTGTAAGTAATAAAACAGTACTTTTTGAAACAAATAAAAAATTTTATTATTTTAAAAGTCATATTAATGGTAATATTAAAAAGCAAAATTAGTTACAAATTTTTAAATGACATGCCAACAATTGCAAACATGTTGCATCATATAGACCACATGTGGCTGACAACTGATTTTAAATACTAATTTATAATATATCTAAAGAGATTAATAGGTGTATAGTGCATATATTAGACATATTAAACAGATATCATAGAAAAAGAAAAAATTTAAATATATTTACCAAATCTTTCAAAAACTATATAACACTTAACACATAAAAGTTAATACAAAAGAAAATTTAGTATTATTAAAATTAAAAATGAGGATAAAAAGATGTAAAAACGTAAATTAATAAAAAAACTTATAGACAAATTATTAAAAACTTTTATAACATAAGAGTTCTTTGTAAGTTTAGGATTTAAAAACAGAATTAAAAATGAAAAAAATAAAATAGTAAAAGTATATAAATTAAAATAATAAAAAATTGCGAAATTAAAAAAAACATTTTTTTAAAAAGTCAATTTTCTTTATAAATAAAAAAGAAGATAATTCTACCAGTAGTTTAAAAAAGCTACTGGTAGAAATTAAAAGAGTTAAACCGCTTTCCAGCACCCCTCCTTCTACAGGTGGTGTCATATGGGGCTTGTCTCCTCCATCTAAAGGAGGGATCATCTCCCCCATATTGACTCCACCGGTAAAAAGCTCTTGGAGATATTGGACCTGGGTGCTGGGAGCGATATTGCAGAAAATCTTGATGCGATAAATTTGAATACAATACTGCACAAAACAACCAATAAAAATATTATTTAAAACTATTTAGACTTCAAAAAAAAAAAAGTTATGACAAAAAAAATAAATAAATAAAGTAATGTAAAAATAAGGATATGCAATGTTTAAATTTCATATATACCTACACATAACACATAACACCCACACATAATAAATACACATAACAAATACACATAACACCCACAAAACTGCATAAGTATGGAAAACAGATTACCTGATGGTCCTGCAGATATTGTTGCTATTATGGAAATAAATAAAAAAGTATATGAACTAACACATATATTAAACAGTTATGTAATTGCATACAAACATGAAAAAAGTAATGTTTAGGTTTCAATACACATAACACTGCATAAGTACGGAAAAACTGCATAAGTATGGAAAACACATTACCTGGTGGTACTGCAGTTGATACTGTTGCTATTGTGGAAATAAATAAAAAAGTATATAACCAAACACATATATTAAACAGTTATGTAATTGCATACAAACACGAAAAAAGTAATGTTTAAGTTTCAATACACATAACACTCATAAAACTGCATAAGCATGCAAAACACATTACCTGATGGTACTGCAGATGATATTGATGCTATTGTGAAAGTAAAAAAAAAAAAAAGTGTATAAAGTAAATATGTTAAACATTTATGTAATTGATAACAAACATGAAAAAAGTAATGTTTAATTTCAATACACATAAAACCCATAAAACTGCATAAGTATGCAAAACACATTACCTGATGGCACTGCAGATGATATTGATGCTATTGTGAAAGTAAAAAAAAAAGAAAAGTGTATAAAGTATCATATGTTAAACATTTATGAAATTGCATGAAAACATGAAAAAAAAAAATTTAAGTTTCAATACACATAAAACTCACAAAACTGCATAAGTATGCTAAATAGATTACCTGATATTATTGCTTGAGGTGTTAATGTATAGACAAAAAAACAAATAAATAAAGTGATGTGCAAAATAAGATATGCAATCTTTAAGTTTTACACTAAATTACATCTTACCTGATGGTACTGCAGATGATATTGATGTGAAAGTAAAAAAAAAAAAGTGTATAAAATAACATATGTTAAACATTTATGTAATTGATAACAAACATGAAAAAAGTAATGTTTAATTTCAATACACATAAAACCCATAAAACTGCATAAGTATGCAAAACACATTACCTGATGGCACTGCAGATGATATTGATGCTATTGTGAAAGTAAAAAAAAAAGAAAAGTGTATAAAGTATCATATGTTAAACATTTATGAAATTGCATGAAAACATGAAAAAAAAAAATTTAAGTTTCAATACACATAAAACTCACAGAACTGCATAAGTATGCTAAATAGATTACCTGATATTATTGCTTGAGGTGTTAATGTATAGACAAAAAAACAAATAAATAAAGTGATGTGCAAAATAAGATATGCAATCTTTAAGTTTTACACTAAATTACATCTTACCTGATGGTACTGCAGATGATATTGATGTGAAAGTAAAAAAAAAAAAGTGTATAAAATAACATATGTTAAACATTTATGTAATTGATAACAAACATGAAAAAAGTAATGTTTAATTTCAATACACATAACACTCATAAAACTGCATAAGTATGCAAAACACATTACCTGATGGTACTGCAGATGATATTGATGCTATTGTAAAGGTAAAAAAAAAAAAAAAGTGTATAAAGTAAATATGTTAAACATTTATGTAATTGATAACAAACATGAAAAAAGTAATGTTTAATTTCAATACACATAAAACCCATAAAACTGCATAAGTATGCAAAACACATTACCTGATGGCACTGCAGATGATATTGATGCTATTGTGAAAGTAAAAAAAAAAGAAAAGTGTATAAAGTATCATATGTTAAACATTTATGAAATTGCATGAAAACATGAAAAAAAAAAATTTAAGTTTCAATACACATAAAACTCACAAAACTGCATAAGTATGCTAAATAGATTACCTGATATTATTGCTTGAGGTGTTAATGTATAGACAAAAAAACAAATAAATAAAGTGATGTGCAAAATAAGATATGCAATCTTTAAGTTTTACACTAAATTACATCATTACCTGATGGTACTGCAGATGATATTGATGTGAAAGTAAAAAAAAAAAAGTGTATAAAATAACATATGTTAAACATTTATGTAATTGATAACAAACATGAAAAAAGTAATGTTTAATTTCAATACACATAACACTCATAAAACTGCATAAGTATGCAAAACACATTACCTGATGGTACTGCAGATGATATTGATGCTATTGTAAAGGTAAAAAAAAAAAAAAAGTGTATAAAGTAACATATGTTAAACATTTATGTAATTGCATGAAAACAGTAATGCCTAAGTTTCAATACACATAAAACCCATAAAACTGCATAAGTATGCTAAACAGATTACCTGATATTATTGCTTGAGGTGCTAATGTAGAAAAAAAAAATAAAAATAAAGTAATCTGTAAATTAACATATGCTATCTTTAAGTTTTAATACACATAACACTCATAAAACTGCATAAGTATGCAAAACACATTACCTGATAGTACTGCAGATGATATTGATGCTATTGTGAAGGTTAAAAAAAAAAAAAAAAAGTGGATAAAGTAACATATTTTAAACATTTATGTAATTGATAACAAATATGAAAAAAGTAATGTTTAAGTTTCAATACACATAAAACCCATAAAACTGCATAAGTATGCAAAACACATTACCTGATGGTACTGCAGATGATATTGATGCTATTGTGAATACAAAAAAAAAAAAAAGAGTATAAAGTAACATATGTTATACATTTATGTAATTGTTTACAAACATGAAAAAAGTAATGTTTAAGTTCCAACACACATAACACTCATAAAACTGCATAAGTATGCAAAACACATTACCTGATGGTACTGCAGATGATATTGATGCTATTGTAAAGGTAAAAAAAAAAAAAGTGTATAAAGTAACATATGTTAAACATTTATATAATTGCATGAAAACAGTAATGCCTAAGTTTCAATACACATAAAACCCATAAAACTGCATAAGTATGCTAAACAGATTACCTGATATTATTGCTTGAGGTGCTAATGTAGAGAAAAAAAAAATAATAAAGTAATCTGTAAATTAACATATGCTATCTTTAAGTTTTAATACACATAACACTCATAAAACTGCATAAGTATGCAAAACACATTACCTGATGGTACTGCAGATGATATTGATGCTATTGTGAATATAAAAAAAAAAAAAGTTTATTAAGTAACATATGTTATACATTTATGTAATTGTTT